CACAAGTTGCAGCTTGTCATATTTGGTTTCATCCCCTTTACTACACTTTCCATCATTTACTACACTTTACTACATTTTAAGCACATCAGGGGCATGGGCCACACTGCATGTATAGCCTGGGAAGCACCCAGCAAAGGGCTGCATACTTGGCCAGTCCTCACCGGGCCACTGTTGCTGAGGGAACTCGTGTCTATTCGCAGGCACACAGGCCTCACTAGTAGTGAGCACTGAAGGGCTCCTAGGCTTTGAGCACTTATTTCCAAGGCACACTGTAACTTAACAACAAAAAGTTCTAAAAACAAATTCTGTACTTGTGAAAGATGCCACCTGGTCTGCCTCAGGGGCTGAAGTCATCTTTCTATGCACCGAGTGGGAACAGCATAGGGAGCGATAGAAGGTGATTTTCTTCAAACCACTCCCACAAACTGGCTGGAGCCAAGAAAAGGGCCCACACCTTGCAGGAGGGAAGAGGACGCACTACGCAGTCTCTGATGCCCAGTTCACCTTTGGTTTCACTGCAGGAACTGACAACAAACAAGGGAAAGGTAGGGCACGTTTCATGCCAGCTCTGATGATGTAACCCTAAGATTCATAGTTTTGCTGCCAGGAAAAAAAGGCGACTGGTTTAAAAATTTATTTTTTCCCTTTTCTAATAGGCAACCAAAATCTATTTTGCATCACCCACTAGTTTGTGTGTGTGTGTGTGTGTGTGTGTGTGTGTGTGTGTGTATAACTCACCACAAACTTTTTTTTTTATTTAATAGAATTGACTGCCAAATTTAACTGACTGGTTTGGACTCCTTGGAAAGCAAATGTATAGGGGCTGAAATATGTTTATTACATAAACATCCCTGTGCACAAGAACACAAAGTTCTTCTCCAAAACGTTTACTCTGCAAGCCATACAATGCACAGTGGTTGTCTGAAACAACAGGAACCTCAACACCAGAAGGGCAACAGCCATGTGGGACAGGGCTGAAGGAGGCATCAGACAACTATTCCTGACAGGGGTGAACAGAGAGACTTCAGAAGTAGGACTGCATGTCAGGACTTCATCAAACTGGAGTCCACTTGGGAGTTTTCTGCCAACGTAACTGACAGATGTTCCCCTTCGTTAGGACTGTTTAATTTGGGAACATTTGGTATTCATAGCTTTAGAAAGTTTTAGGCACAACAAGTTAATCCCTTTTCCTATGTGTGATGACAAGACCCTTTTTCTTTTCCTATTTTCCAAACTAGTTAATGGAAGCATAATTCCCTTGCCCACTGCATGGACAAACTGGAACAGAGCAGTGATGACCAGACAGAGCGGGGTAAGAGGGGATGATAAGCCTTCTCCTGAGGATCCCTCCCTCCTGTGGATCAGGTCTCCCATGAACTCCTGCATGTTGGATGCTGCACAGGACTTGGAACCTCCTACAGAGAACCAAGCGGAAGCCGTGAGTACGAGTCTCAGCCAGGGCAAGAGTGTGGAGCGCCAGCGCCGGGATGCTTTGCCCTTACATCTCCGAAAGAGCTCTCTGTGTCCAAGGCTGTATCGGGGCTTGGCTAGCTAAGAGGTGAATGGCCAGCATAAAACATGGGTGACAAAGGAGAGCTAGGCACACTATCAAAGCAGTACCCACCCCTCTTCACTCAGTCCTTCAAACCCATCAAAAGCCACGGTCTTATGGGAATGATGCTACTTCTACTTCTGTCCTGCCCTCCAAACTGCAAAGAGTAACCAACGGGGTTATAGTACTGTCCCCTCTTATCCACAGGGGATATGTTTCAAGCCTCTCCTAAATGCGCGAAACTGCAGACAGTACCAAGTCCCAAATACATCTTTTCCTATATATACACACCTGTGGTAAAATAAGTCACTGTGAGCAATTAACAAGAGTAACTTAACAGAGTAAGTGTAAAACCTTTACAGTTTGAGGTGTAATAATAAGACTAACACAAATTATTTTTCCATCTTTACAATTTCACCAATAGAAGATTTTTTTTCTTACTGTAGATCTTAGTAACTTCACATACTTCTTTATTCTTTCCTTATTAAGTTGAGAAACTACAAGAAGGACTTTATGGTTTTTCTTTTGGGATATCTGAAATGGCAGTGTCGCTATTCTTATACTTTAGAGCCATTATAAATAAAATATAGGTTACTCGAACAAAGCGCTTGGGCACCATGACAGCCAATAAGATAATTAAGACAGCTACTAAGTGACTAACAGGCCTCTCAAATTCAGTGTGGAAACGCCGGACAAAGGGAGGATTCATATCCCAGGCAGGATGGAGTAGGACGGCACAAGATTTCATCACGCTACTCAGAAAAATCATGCAATTTTAAATTGATGAGTTGTTTATTTCTGGAATTTTCCACTCCATATATCTGGACCACAGCTGACAGAGTTTCAGAAGGTGGAACCACAGCTAAGGGGGGCTACAAGCTTCAAGAATACGGAAGCCCTTAGTAAGTCACACCCCAAGTTCATTACTTACCAGTTTAACCCTTCTCCAAAACCGCATTTTGAAAACTTCCACTTAAAAATTTCATAACTTTTGGCTGTTTACTTTGGTAGTATAAATACTGTTATACAAAGCCAATTTGCAGTAACCAGGAAATATTTAAGATCTTTAAGTGCATTTTCCAACTTTTCCCAAGAATTACTTATTAACCTGTAGGACTGCCAATTAAGCAATTGTTACTATATGATGCATTGGCACAAGGCATTAGAACAATGACAAGACTTGCTCCTTACCCTGAGCAGCTTATAGTTTAGCAAAAGATTTTTAAAATGTGCAGCACAAACTAAAAGTACGTGGGTAAATTATAAGGTTAAAATAAATGAAGGTTAACACCAATTCAGATCCAGGGAAGGCTAGGCTAACATAACTGTGTTAGGGAAAATGGGTGGCAGAGAGGGTATCTGAATAAGGCCTTGGGAAATATCTATGTCAACAGGAAGCGGGTTTAGACAGGGGTGTTGTACGTGGAGGAACAGCTATAGCAAAAGCACAGAGGCAGACTGGAGGTGAGCTAAGCCCGGCTCGAGGGCAGCCTACATGAAGGAAAGAACTAAGGGCAAACTCATCTAGAAAGGCATGATATAGCTAGTTCTGAACATAATGGAGGAGGAGATGTTGAAGGTTAGACTTTACAAATAACAAAAATGACTTTTAAAATATACCCTTCCTTACTAAGTTTTCCTCACTGTATTCTAGATTTTTAGAGTGAAAATATTTATTTGCAAACTAGGTACAGGAACTCCAAAGAAAAATAACTTGACTGATAGGAAGAAAATGTTTTTCTGAGCTTGCTTATGGCTTAACTAATACATAGTATACATAGTGGAACCTCGGTTTAGGAATGCTTTTGTTTGCAAACAATCTAGTTCACAAACACAAGCGTCTGGCAAAATTTTGTTTTTGTTTGCAAACTGCATTGGGTGACAAATACAAATGTGAACATCTTTTTCAAAATAGCAGAATGAATTAAATTCATGAACCAAAGTGCTATTGTATTAATTTTCCCCATATCTTGAGGTCATTTCATTACCTTTCTTATTTATTTGTTTATTGACAATACTTGTGAATTTCCCCAGGACCCCACACATGACAAGCAGGAACTCTATCACTGAGCTACATCCCCAACTCTTTTCAAAAAAATGTATTTTGAAACACAGTCTTGCTAGGTTGCCCAGGTCAGCCTCAAACTTGCAATCCTCCGGACTCAGCCTCCGAAGTGCTGAGTGGCTACTGAAGAATTAGTATTTGCTCAATTATTTACCCATTCTTTTCTTTTCTGCCCCACTTTGTCCCTGCTAACCACTCACCCCCTTACTTATTCTTCTGCTGTGAAATATACCTGTAATAACAACACTAGGAGTTACTATTTGCTGAGCGCTTGCTATAGTGCCGGGCACCACAGGTATCTATTATTATTATTATCATTATTATTTTTTATTTAATATAATCCTCAAAACAACATTATGAAATAGGTGTTACGACTCCTGCTTTATAATGGTGGGTACAAATTCAGAGACATTAAATACTGCGCTAGCTGGTGAGCAGCAGAACACAGGTTTAAAACAGACATGCTTGACTCGAGAGCCCTGACCTCTTACAGTTCACTGTGCTACCTCTAGCAACTTACTTCCTGCCTCTTACTAACACAGGTCAGTATTTTCACTTCCAAAGCAGGATATTCACTGAGCACCTGCTACTGTAAAATCCAGTTCCGGGTGCTGTTGGAGATGTATAAACAAGTGAGAGAATCCTGCGGATTATTGATATTTGCAGTCTCCTGTATGTGAGCACAGGCAGCTGTACCGTATCAGTTTGGGATGCCTGTGATTCATAATTTTGAGCAAATAAGGTCACAGTGAGTGAAAATGGCACAGCATATGAATGTTGGATGCCAACCCCATCTACTCACAGACAGAAATCGGCCAACCTTGACTAAATGACTTACAGAGAACTTTAATAATACATTTCTGTCAGAGTCTGTAAAAACTCACTCTGCAGATGAAAAATCTGTGCTGTCAGAAGTTCCCAACCAAATCTGCTTATAATCCACTTTCAATGAACCTCAGACTCCTTTGAAGTAGAAAAAGCTACTAAAGCATTTAGCTGACAATAAGCACACTGTGAAGCTGGTCCTTATAAAATTCGTTGCTGATGAGTAAAACTTCTTGATTAGAACACAAGTGTGAAGTCAAACTACATCTGGAGGGAGTCACAATTCTGAGCCCAGTTTACCTCTGTGCCTCTCGAGTATTCCAAAGGCACGTTATTCACACGACAAATTACACAAGTAAGATCCATGAAAAGACTGCAGTAGCAAATATTATCTGCATGTGTTCTGCAATCAAAACTCCAACTATGACAGATATTTAAGGAAACAAAAGTTAATAAAAAGAAATAATTGTAAGAGTTCACGTGCGGCAGAAGAAAGTGAAATACATTGGTTAGCAATAGAAGCACCAGGCTATGTCATGTGAAGATGCTGACACTTACTGCTCAATTCGGGGAGACAAGTACAGCTTGGGGTACACCTGGGTGGCTTCAGTGTCCTCAAAACTGACCGAAAGGAGGGCCACATCTTCTCCAGGATCTTCGTTTACATCCTTAGACAGGAAGTGAAAAACATAACGTTATGAGCACCTGCTCTCTGAACATCTTACCAGTAATGAGCTCACGGGCCACTGGCCTGGCAGCCACAGGTGTGAGTTCCCCCTATTCCAGCTGAGGAGCTCGGTACATCCTTGGCCATTCCGGGGGGTGGGGGGTGGCCCTCAAAGTCTCCGACCGGCCTACCACAAGACCTCCCCACCATCTATTTGTTCCAACACACCGCTAGTAACAAGGAATTAAGTAAAAGTACTGCTAACAAACTGCAGTAAATATTTACAATTTACAGCCTAAAATACCAACAAAATGCTAAAATACTCTGTAATTTTATCAAACCCACCTGTACAGTATTTTATAAGCTATTTAAACACCAAAATCTGCAGGAAACATAGTACCATGATCTATGTCACCATATAAGCAATGGCAGGAGGTCAGGCACACATCTCCTTTTTGAAGTCACTGTAGATGGATTACATGGGAACAAGAAGCCACATCTCTGAAATGTCCAGTTAACATCAAAAGGCAAAACTATTATTGATAGAAGTATGACTATTGTTGATTAATGAACCAATGTATATATTGAAGCTAGCCATAATAATGATAAAGCCCAGTTTACTGTTATTTATAATGAAAAAACAAGAACAGCAGCAACTGTCTATCACAACCAATTCAGGTTAGCAATGATGAGACCTGGATGAAGTGTCCTGAATCAAAACTATGGAATTTTATGCACATTTGCTTTATGATTTTTGCCACCCACCAAGTATCTGCCAGAGTTCTAAATTAAATACTAAATAAAATAACTAATACTAAGATATTGATTAGTTTGTACATACCAAATTTCAGTAATCCTTAATAACCTGGTACTAGCTCCGAGTCAAATGTAAAAACTCCCTACACTTTTATATCACTTTACAGGTACCCAGTGGGTTCCTCAGCCACACCAGGGGTCCCAACCTTCAATTTAGGATTCACTGGTGACGGACACGGAGGACGTCGGACATGATGCCCTTCTCTGTCTAAAACCCCACCCCCTCTCTGCTTGAGTCCGGGCAGCCTGATGAGCTCTGATATCTTCAGCCTCCGTGCTGCCTCCTCCTGTGCCTATGATGTACAAGTATAACATGTATACATGAGGACAGGATCACATTCTCCCATCTCCCAAACTAAAAAAATTTGAAAAGAACAAGAAGAGTCTCGCTGGGTTCTATATACTCTTCTGATTCTCTCTCATCTCTCTCCTCGATGAGCTGTCTCCACTCCTTGACTCTACTCCCACTTACCGCGTAGCCCCCCACCACAGTAGCCTACAGACTCTTCCAGTTCAAGACTGCGCACAGCAAGGCCACCCACTAAACCCAGCCAGTGCTCTTCTGCCCTTCGCTTACTTGATAGCTAAATGGTATTTGACATGGATGATCACTGATCTCTGGAGGCTTTCTGTTTGTTGGTTAGCTGGTTCCTAAAAGACTACATTCTCCTAACTCTTTGGCTGCTTCTCCTTCTACTGTCTTTATTTTTTAACTTCGTTTTTTTCAGTGTTACACTGCAAAAATTAGGCTTACTTTAACAAGTCACACCATACAGAAGTTTACAAAGAAGCAGTTCTTTTACACCCCCCACCCCGCTCACTCCCCACCCTGAAGACAACCAATACTAACTGCATACAGCCTTAAACAGCTTTCTTTCTCTGTGCTCATAAAAACACACACTTGCATATAAACAGCTCTTTAACCTTCTGTTTTGTTTTCTCTAATGGGATCATATTATACATATCACTCCACCAATTGCTTTTTAAATAGCCACATAACATTCCATGGCATGGATTTATCTTTTATTTAACCATTTCCCCAGCAACAGACTTTCAGATTGTTCCTAATTCTTAGCCACTTGATAGTATTACAATAAATATTCTTGTGTGTATTTATATATATCCTTTAGTGGCTGGACTTATATTTCTTAATAGACAACTAAAATTGAGCTTGCTGGGTTGTGAATATTTTACATTTACAACAGAATTTAATTGATTTTTTCTGAAAATTTTGCAGCAATTCATTTCTGGGCTCATAAATTTCAGCATCAATATGCGAGAGCCTCTTTCCCCTCATCCAGAATAACTGGATAATGCTGGCTGTTGTTACTCTTTTTAATTCAATGTCAGAAATCTGAGAGCTGGAAAACAGTATCCAAATTTACATTCAATGAAGGACACTAAGCAGCTTTCCCCTCTACAACTGTCCTTATCAAATTCATTACATGTTTTTCCTTAAGGTTCTTGTTCTTTGTAGTTATTTAGTAAGTTTATTCTTTTCTACCCCATTATCAAAATATTTTCTCGCAGGGCCAGGGATTTAGCCTAGCGGTATCACGCCCTCCTTGCAAGCGCAAGGTCCTGAGTTCAATCCCCAGTAACAACAACAACAAAATTTCTTGCAGGCTAGTTTTTCACTTTTTACTTTGGGTGCTTCCTCTCCTATCACAGAAAATTTAGATTTTTATAGAGTTAAATAAAGTTGGTCCATAACTTTGAGGTTCCATTACTATTTCTCTAGGTTTTCATTTAACAGTGTTATAATTTTATAGCCCTGGAATATATTTTTAGGTGGCAGAAGAAACACGGCACTATTTTGGGGGAGAAGGTGAATGCGTGAATGGGTAAGAGAAGGAATGTTTTCTGAATGAATAAACGAGTGAACAAATGGATGTTCATTCCCAACCTTCATTCTCCACTACCGAGGATTTTCTAGCAATCTCCTTTACAAAAGGTGCTGTCAAGTCTGGGAGATAAGTGCTGACTCCTTGTTCCTCCCCAGATAATATACCAAGTTCTCCAGAACTAGTGATCTTAACAGGAAAGCCCAGAGTGAGAGTGTAAGCTTAGCTCTCACTTTTTGCTCTTTCACAGATGATGACATATTCAACCTCGAATTTTCCTTTCTGTACAATGAGGATGGAATTTTAAAAAATACTTAGGATTCACAACAAACAGAAACTACCTAATTATATAACATATAATTCATCATCTATCTAAAACTAAGGTTGAAGCTAAAGCTTGAAAAAAATCACATTCATAAGAACAAATTCATCTTACGATCTAAGTGCACAAGTAGTCTTGTTTATAGATTGGTTACCATCAGAAAATAACAAGAAAGAAGTAACACTGACTTTTCAATACCACAGTGAGTACTGGGTGTCTGTGAAAGGTCAAGGCTGCAGGCTATGGTTATAAATCACAAAACCTTTCAAAATAAAACAAAAAAACCCCAAAACAACAAGGGCCTGAAGTCCTCTTTTAACCAGCAACTTTGTTCTGTATGCCTATGGATAATTTATAATCATTTATTTCCTTTTTGTACTTTTAAACTTTCCATTTCACTATTATTTTAGTAAAAACCAGAAATGCTTAAAGACAATCCTCAAAGGAATGGTCCTGGTATAATCAACATTTATCATCTGATATCCTACAAAAAGCACATGAAACACCGGTCTGAATATAAAAGCAGTTATTTTCAGGAGTTTATTTCATAAACTACCATCATGTTTTATTCCTCTTGGAGTAGCACATGAATTTTCCTTGAATTGGCATTTGATTCCTAATGGATATTAAGTCTGATTCTGAGTGCTCAAATAAGCCCAAAGAGTTCCAAAAATACAAATCCACACAGTGCTGTTTCCAGTTTCTGCAACTCTAACAGGCTTGTACATGTGTTCCCTCCCATCTGGGAAATTAGAAAAGAAGCTTTTGTACCATGGTTCTTAGAAGCTAACATTACAGATGATTATTGTAACCACTAATGGCAGCGTTTGGAAAACAAGGGATGGTTATAACATAGTAAGGGACATTTTAAAATGTACAAGTATACATTTTCAGGGCTTGTTATCTGCACCATCTGAAACTGCCACAGGCTAAATGAGGGAAAAGATGTGTCCATGCTAAAGCTAAATATTGTCCTCTACCTTTATACAAGTGTGTGAGGCAGTCAGTCACATACATATGGCCAGGAAGTAACAGCCATCTCACTCTGTTGAGATTTGAGTGGTTTAGGCTCAGCACTTAACTCTCAAAGAAAGGGGTTTCTGTAGCTAATAGTGAATGAATATCCCCTGTAAGGAATTTGCTCCTTGGAGTCTGAAAGCTTTTCCTTTTCCTTTTTGCATCCAATCACATTCCGAACACAGAGCAAACCTGTTGTTAAAAAAAAAAACAATTAATGCAGGAGTGATGGAAAGAATGGGCAAGTGAATGAAATTAACCGCTGAACCTGCTTTTCCATTGTGAAAAATATTTGGGATGCAAGAGCCACAGTATAAAACTGACAGAATGCAATAGAAAATTCTTTCAATCAGTAAGATTCTCAATGTTTATTTCTTTAGTTCCTTAAGTCAATAACTAAATATATTATTAAAGAAGACTCAAATCTCAACCACGGGACCAGCTAACAAGAATCAACATTTCTGTTTAGATAATAATGATTCATTTATGTAACTATTTTCAATTGAGGCGCTCTGCAAATATAAAAATGGTGTGGGGGAAAAAAACACACAAAAATTAGCCTTGGAAACAAAAATAAATACAAGTACAATTTATCATTATGCTGTACTCCTTTGATATGCTAATTAGCACAAGTAAAGATAGCAGCCATTAAACAGGTCCCTGTACATTGAGAACATTAGTGTCAATACTGGTACAGGGCTACCAATTAACTAATTGCTGATAGACATTAACCGAACCAAAAATGTTACCAAGCACAGATCATACAGGAAGACTATTAAAAAGCCATTGTATTTCTCAATTCAAAAGGCCTTACAACAAATCTATAACCATCACTAGCCGAGCCAGTCTGGAGGCATGAATGACTACAAAGAAGCTATTCCATTATATGTCAAAAATCTAGTTAGCACCATTGAATTCACATTTAAAATGATATTAAACTAGACTTGGGGGAAACCAGTGTTCCTATGGTGGCCAAAAACTAGATCTAGATAAACACCTCAT